CTCAAGGAAAGATCTGCCACTCTAACTTTATTAACTATTTTAATTTTAATTAAACTTTTTAAATTTACCTACTTAATTGCAAGCTGACGATCGGCAGTACGTCAACAACCGTCCTTCTGAACACCAACTACTCAAGGAAAGATCTGCCACTCTAACTTTATTAACTATTTTAATTTTAATTAAACTTTTTAAATTTACCTACTTAATTGCAAGCTGACGATCGGCAGTACGTCAACAACCGTCCTTCTGAACAGCAACTACTCAAGGAAAGATCTGCCACTCTAACTTTATTAACTATTTTACTTTTAATTACACTTTTTAAATTTACCTATTTAATTGCAAGCTGACGATCGGCAGTACGTCAACAACCGTCCTTCTGAACACCAACTACTCAAGGAAAGATCTGCCACTCTAACTTTATTAACTATTTTACTTTTTAATTAAACTTTGGTGATCTTTTCCTTTTGACGTGCTCATCAACAATTACAAGTCTACTTCTTAAAAGTGTGTGGCCTTACGAACCATACAGATCTTGATCAAATTTATATGGGATTACACAAGAAGCACCAGCTTTAAAAAATCGTTCGGTCTGAAAAATCCGTTCACTTAGAAAAAAAATTGTGTACCTCCTCCATTTTGAAGTCACTCATTTTAATGTCGAAAGCCTTTTAACTCCATGCTAGAGCGCTGGTTCTCACGAAGTTCACTGTGCGGTCTAACATCGCAATGCATTGTTCATTGTTTAGTTTAGAGATCGATTACCGAATTATTTGTGTAACTAACGATCGAGAATGTTTCTTGCGTTAAAATGAATTCATTACTAAGGCATCCTTTTCTATGACTCATAGTCATGTACATACGTATTCGTACGTACGTACGAGTATCCTCTATTCAGAATCAAAATACAGATACTACGTACCTGAGGACTACGTGTTAGATGAAATGCTCCGGTACAAGCAAAAAGGTCTCTAATTCTCTATACACACTATACGTTGCCACATGGGCGTTTTTCACTTGTTGGTTGACAGCATAGAGTATATATAGTCTTTGGTTGAAAGCCATCACAGCCACTTCTGACCCCGTGGCTGTCAATCTCTCATCGTAAATGAAGCTAATCGCTTAGTGCGAGATCTGGACTGTGTGCGGGATGGGTCACGAGCTACACCTTTTCATATTCATTTATTTATTTGTGAATACAGTAAGTTAGGTGATATAAAAATTTACAGTAGGTTTCGTGTATTCTACCACAGTGTGGTGTACAAATATATTTCTTCACGTTATAGCCAATAACAGCAAAATGGAATACTATTAAAATTGATTGCAAATTATAAAAATACAATAATCATATTTGTAGGTGGTATTAAATATTCACAAAAATGTTATATATTATAAGTGAAAAGCGTCTTGCAATGATACCCATGACACATAACACATTTCGTAATGGCGCCTTTACGTCTATATTGAAAAAAAAAGAAAAAGGTGAAGTAAATAAAAATGTCATCTTTTCAAATTATTATTACTATTATTAAATACACGAGTCAACAATAAATACTGCATCTTAAGCTAATGTCACGTAAGTAAACTATATATATATATATATATATATATATATATATATAAAAAGAAATCAAAAATGTCGATGTCATCGGCTCAGACAAAATAAATATTTTGTCTGAGGTCATCAGGTTATCATAATATCATGTCAAATGTATAATATGTGGTATGTCAAATCAAATATAAATATTATACTATTATGTATACCAAAACAATCATTTAATTTCTATGTCATTAAGGTATTCATTAATAGAATAGTAAGATTTAGTAATTAATAATGTTTTTAATGATTTTTTGAAGCTTTGTATATTATTTATTTTCTTTATGTCATTAGGTGTTTTATTACATATAGGTATGGATAGGCAAAATATACTTTTTCGCATTATTGCTGACTTTGATTGTCGAACTTTTAATCTCAGAGGATACCTTCTATTATTTAAATTTTCAAACAGTGGCAGGTTTCTATGGACAAACACAGCCGTCTCATAGATAAAAAGACAGGGAAAAGTTAGAATTTGCAGCTCTTTAAAATGTGGTTTCCAGCTGTCTGTCCAGTGTAGATTTTTGATTGCTCGAATACACCTTTTTTGAGCTTTGAATACCTTTTCCCGATCCACTGAGTTTCCCCAAAACATTACACCATACCTAAGTGTTGACTCAACGTTTCCAAAATATGCTATACGAAGTGTTTGCGTATCTGCTCTTTTATTTAACTTATACAAGGCATATGAAAATTTATATAATTTACTGCAAACACTATCGACCTGTGCCTTCCAGTTCAGTTGGTTATCAATGATAATTCCTAAAAATTTAGTTTCTATCGTTTCATAGATTGGTGAGCCTTTATAATTAATATTAAAACTTGATAAACTATCTTTTTGCCAATTAAATTTCATAATTTTAGTTTTTTCTAAATTTATATTTAAGTTATTTTTTACGAGCCAATCAATTATAAGACCAATGGAATTGTTAATCTCAATTTCATAGCTTTGGGTATTATTGCCTTCATAAACGACCGTACAATCATCCGCAAAAAGGACCATAGATTGTTGTATCACCGATGGAAGGTCATTAATGTACAAAAGAAACAGGAGTGGACCCAAAACGCTTCCTTGTGGAACGCCGTAGTACACAGCTCGGGGTGTCGATCGATAAACCTTTTCTGTCAACTTTATAGGACATATTCTCCTTATTTCAGTAATCTGCGTCCTGTGTGTAAGATATGACTCAAAAAGATCTAAAACTGTCCCTCGCAATCCATATTGATGTAATTTTCTTATTAATATTTTGTGATCCACAAAGTCAAAAGCCTTAGTCATGTCCATGTATAGCGCGGCCACAGGTATTTTTTTTGTCTATACATGTTATAATTTTGTTGAGCAGGTCATAAATTGCCGCGTTTACAGATTTATTTTTACGAAATCCTTTTTGCTCATTTACGAGTATCTTATTATCTTCGAGATATTTATTTAAACGTTTATATAAAACTTTTTCAAAAACTTTCGCAAATACAGTAATCAAAGCAACAGGGCGATAACATCCAACATCACATCTGTCGGTTTTTTTAAATAATGGATTTACTATTGACAGCTTTAGAGACTTAGGGAATTTGCCTTGCTCTATACATAAGTTTATTATATGACATAAAATACCCGCAATCAAAAATGCTGTCTCTTTGACTACTTTAGTAGTTATTCCGTCATACCCTGTGCTTTGGGTATTTTTAAGTGACTTTATTGTTTCATATATTTCAACAGGAAAGGGGCCATAAACATTGACGAAGACTTATTAACTTGTATACAATAGTTACCTGCGTTCTCATCATTAACCTGTTTCTTATGCTCCATTTGTATAAAGTGATCGTTAAAAGTTTGAGCTATTTCTTTCGGGTTTGTTATTATTCGATTATTATATATAATTTTGTCGATTTGTTTTATAGGGGCATTTGTTTGGTTATTCTTAATAACCTTCCACGTAGCTAAACATTTATTTTTTTGCATTCGCTATGTAATAGTTATTCTGCGATCGTTTTGTGAGTTCAATAATTTTCTTTAATTTTTTTAGTGTACCTTTTAAATTTATCTTTTGAGTCTTTATTAGGATTAAGGCGAAATTTCCATAACTGATTCCTTTTGTTTCTGCTACACAACTTAATTCCTTTTGTAATCCAATTCGGTTTTGTTTTTAAAGATATTCTTATCTTTATTTCCGGAAAGCATAAATCATAACATAATTTATAAATGTCAAAGAAATAATCAAAGGCGTCATTAGGATTATCTAAAGAAAATAATTCATTGAATTTGAAAGAGTTTAGGCAATCTACAAACTTTTTTAAATTTTTTTTGCAAAAATCGCTTTTAAAAACATACTAATATGTCATTGCATGATGCTTCATTACTGGAATTTTCAGCAGTTGGGCTGTGTGATCTGAGAGTGCAAAATCTCGTATTTCGCTATTTAGTTTTGTGAAATTATGGAATGCATTATCTATGCAGGTACCACTACATAACCTTGTTGGTTCATTAAATTCAATTTTTAAATTGTAACTACTCAAAATTTGTGTTATGCTATTTGTCAAGATATTTGGCTTTAATATGTCAACATTGAAATCACCAACAATGACAAGTTTTTTTGATTTAAAACAGTACTTGTGTAATATATTTTGCAATATATTTAAAAATGTATCAATATCCTTAGCAGAATTTTTAGGCACACGGTACATGCATATTATAATTATTTCAAATTCAACAAGCTCAATTGCACAACATTCAACTTCGTTACTAATGGATAGAGCTTGAACTTCGTAAATTGTGTTATACTTAATATTATAGTCTACTAGAATACAAGCTCCACCTTTTCTATTTTTTCGCAAATAACTTGAAGCTAATTTGAAATTTGGTATACATAGATGTTTAATGTCATCTTCAACCATATTATGCTCGGTTATACAAATAATCCCAATTATTTTATTTTCATCTTTTAATTCCGCTAAACACACAGCAAGTAAGTCGGATTTGTTAATAATTCCGTTTATGTTTTGATGCAAGAGATATAGATTATTTTGGACCACGAAAAAACTCTGAAGAATCATCGGTTTCATTACTAGCTGATCCTTCCATCGCTACATTACAAAACTCTGTTTGACATGATTTATCACATTTTGAATACAATTTTGAGTTCCCTGTTACACAAGCAGCGTTATTTATATAATTTAAATAATTTTGTCTGTAACTAATACTTAAAATTTCTTTCAGTAATGACCTCGATAAGTTCAAAGCAAACAGCTTTCTTCGTGGGACAGATTTGCAATAATCCATATCCAAAAACACCGCTCGCTTAAAATTGCTACATAAGAACTTTAGTTCGTAATTTAGCTTAAATAAGTTTAGGTAATTGTTATGTGGAACCTCCGAAATTATTACATTTGTATTTTGGCATGAGGTGACCTAACTCATCAAGTTACATTTTAATTTAAAAGGATTACGATCATTAGATCCTGTAAGTACAACCACACAATCATTTAATGTTAATGAAGATATTTCATGTTTCCAAACATTTAACACTTCGCTTGACTCGGCACCAGGCAGAAAGCAGTAAACTTGATATTCCGGACCCAGAAGTTTTTCCAATGAGTGTCTGACATTTTTCCCATACTGATCAGCAATAATTATGATTTTCTTTTTTGCAGATATACGATCCACCAATATTGACCGTTTATTAGTAATGTTAGTAGATATGTTATCCTTGTCAATAACTTTATTTACAACATCTTGCTGCTGAACATTTAACGCTATTTCAGATTTGTTGCTAAAACTATTATTTCTTTTAGTGATCCGCATATTACTGTTTTCTTTTTTGTGCATGTTACTGTCAGAGTATGTATAAGTGTCTGTTGCAGTATCCGTTTTACTGTCTTTAGTTAATATATCACCAGTAACTGTCAGTATACTACTATCAGCCGTAGAATCTTGATTTGTAGATTTTATATTATTAAGCAATGGTGACAGGATATCTTGTAGTGGTTTAAGTTTATTTTGTTTAGTTCCCTTTCTTCTCGGTGTTGAGTTTGTAGATCGTGCTTCGTTATTTTGAGTTGAATTTAATTGTTTTAGTGTTTTAATTACCATTTGACAATTTTCCAACTCACGTTTAAGTTTAAAATTTTCTGTTATTAGATTTTCAATTTCTTTATGCGCTGACTGTAGTTTTAAGGCTAAATTATTATTATTTACTTTTAACTCAACTACTATAGGATTCTCAATTGTTGATAAATTCGGTAAACTGTCCATAGTATTCTCAAATAACATTGTCGACGATGATGTCATATCGATCTCTAGTTTCGTTAAGTCATTCTCCTAGTTACACTTAGCAGGTCTTCTTATTGTCACATTTTCTTGTTGTAATGAATTTCCGGTATTCATTTTTCGAAATAGTTATATCTAATCCTTAATATTATATATCTTAAATAATCACAAAATAAATCATAGTGTGTTGAGGGCCTTATCATATAGGTTTTTTTTTCATGCGTCGTATAATAATTATCTATGACATTTGTCTTGCGATTTTAAAAGTTATTTAAAAGTTCAGACAGTTTATAAAGTCGTTTTGTCGTGTCTTAAGTTGTTCTGTTATAATCCACACAAATATTCTTTTTTTGTTCTAATAGTAGGTATAGTCAGATTCAGATTTATATTATAAATTGTAAATGTTTTAACTTTTGTTGTAAAACCAAAATTTATTTAATCTAAGAAAAAACGTAATTTTCACAATCGGATTAGATTTTCAAAAGCTAAAAATGACGTTGTCTTGTTTGCGGTGTGCGCTAAGGCGTTATCTTGGTGTAATAGGATGCAAATTCTTAGTTGCCTTTGCCTTACCTTTTCAAAGACATCACATTTTCCTCAGTGATCGCAATTGATGGTCGACTTTTACAAATTTCTTCAATAGAGAGAAACACGGCTACGATAAAATTCAACAAAATCAATGCAAATCAACTCCTTAAGGTGCTCAAATGCGGTGTTTCCCTCCCAAAAGTATTTCAAAGATGAACAGCGCAATCTTGTAATGAAAGTGAACATTTAAAATTATAATAAAAAATCGTAGTCCTAAATTTATTTTCGAGTCAACTATATTTTTGCTACGAATGACGAACTTCAGCTTGTATTTTATCACAAGCTGAAGTTCGTCATTTGTAGCAAAAGCAATTGACAAGCTACTTTCCGTCAACATTATTGTAATAACATGACTTTATGGGTGCGTTTGACAGAAAAAGCGCTAGCAAACGCTTGTAAGCAAAATGGCGAAACTAAACAGTTTTCGGCCAGGATACGTTTGCTAATTTATTAATGCCATTTTGCTTATTTAATTTGTTTGTTTTGAAGTAGAGTTTATAAGTTGTTTTTTGCAATATTAGTTTTAAGTAATATAATGACATGAATAGACGTAATATACATGTTATTAAAACTTCATGATTGGTAGGTTTTTAATATGAATACTTCACAAACATATATTTAAATTAGGTTAGGTTCCTCGGTTAAAACTAACATCGTGTCCTAGAGGAAAATAGCTACTTACGATTTGACAGCGCTTACCGCTTACGATCGCCATTTTGCTTACAAGCGCTTGCTAGCGCTTTTTTCTGTCAAACGCACCCTATGTTTAAGAAAATATAACATTCGAAATTTAAACGTTTATGAGCGGCCAGGACTTTCCGTGTGCTTGCACTGCCGTTTCACCCTATCCTATAAAAAAGCAGGTATTCTGTCCGTGGTTCTACCCCAGTCGAGTCGATCTATTTATGCCGCACCCAAATATAGGTACAGCGTAACTGTACCACGTGAAGAATTCCTAACCGAATTAAGTTCTATAAATGTTTTACAATAGAACACATATAGCGGTATAACGATCTGGGTAAATAGAGACAACTAGGGCAGTACCAGTAAGCAACATCAAGGGAACAAGACGTTGGTGCACAGATTTCCAAAGCCTTTGTCATAACAACTATGTCAAGTTCTCCTTACAACGGTTTAAACCTTCCTTCTCAATGATGAAAGGATATGCTTGCAAAAAAGACAACCCCATTTACCTATAAAAAACGCAGCTTCCTTTGAAAAAAGTATGATGTAATAAATGTAATGTCTTCGAAATCGAATTGTCCTCTGTCGCGGTGGCCAGCCTCAACGAAGAATAGCTTTTTGCACTGGACAGGATTATAGTGGACAAGTGTGTACGCAACAAACACAGGTGCACTCTCTATTACTTCATTCTTATAGAAACAGAAACAGAGACATTTTTATTCAATTTAGATTGTAAACAATACTTATTGAAAGTCATTTTTTTCTTTTTTTCACTGGTTTGCAAAAAACACTTCTGTCCTGGAAAGGACCAGCAAGAAACCCGCTGGGTTTCTTGCTGGTTCTTGTTTTTTTTTTTTGAAAATAATAGCTAACAATCATGCACGTTACAACTAACAACAAAAAACAAATTAGAAATAGCTTGGTAGCGATCACCCTTCCCAGTGGTTTTTATCATCTATAAATTCCTTAATATTATAATAACCATTTTGACACAAACTTAGTTTTTGAACTTTGTGTATGTCAAATTTTGTATATTTTCTGTGATTTTGTTGTAAAAGCATATAAGAATGAATTACTGACTCGGTGGAGTCGAGTAACGGGTACTACTAGCTTGTGCCTGTTCCTAGTATTTACAGAATGAATATCACTTACTTTCGCAAAACTACTTTTATTTTTGTGTATTGTGTACATTTTCATACACGTGGTAGAGCCATGCTGCAGTTATATTAGTAGTATAGTTATATTAGTAGTAATTCGCATGAATGGTCGATCCGATCCATTCGTGCTACACGAATGGATCGGCTCGACCGGGGAAGGACCACGCTCTCACAGAATACCAGCGTCAAATAGTAGCTTAATGCTGCTGCGTTTCGTATGGTGAGTGTGGAGAACCGGAGACCCTTTTTACTGGAAATGAGGCTTTCCACCCAAGTCCTCACGGATGACAACGCATCTGCATTTTGATTCGTAATCGAGGATAGATGTAGATGTCTATGGGCCACAGGAACCACTCACTATCAGGTGGACTGTGTACTCGTTTGTCATCCTAACCAAAAAAAATAATGTATTGAGAGGCCAGAGTTAATAAATCAATATCCTTTAATTTTTGTCTGAGCGAGTCTTTTGGTTTTAAATCATATATTCCTCTAATAGCCCTCTTCTGTAATAGAATCTAAAACCTTTATAGTCCGATGGAACGGTAATCCGAAAGGACCGGAGAGAGATCAGACGCATGAACAATGGCTTTACGTGCTTTCCGAGGCACGGGGTGGAACACCGACAACCTCCCGACTACGGGCTAATTGTGTGGATTACTTGACAAAAAACTCCATTTTGGTGCCGCCGGGAGTTAAGCCCGGGATCTTACCCGTAGGCTTCGATCACCTAATCCTAGGCCCACCCTACACATGTCCCCCGGATGGCGCTAAATGAGTGACAAGCTGAAAGTACAAGCGCGGCTCCTCGCCGTGTAGTAGCGGCGTAAAATATACCACCTTACAGTTTTCGCACTATAAGACAACAAAGGAAAGAAATGGATCGAGTTCCTGGCGCCCCTTTAATGGAGCAGGGGTGCGAAGAATCTCCGGGAGTAAACCGGCGACGAGGCTTGCCACCCGTCACCTTCTGTCTCCCGGAGGGGCGAAAAGTGGATTTCGGAGGCCTATCTAGCTACGCTGAGTGTGGCGCAATGAATGATAAGATGGATGAGGCCTGCGATATGATGAATGATAGAGGAATAGATGTGTTATGTGTAAATGAGACGAAACGGAAGGGAAGGGATGTCATTACTCATGGGATATATACCGCGTACTGGTCTTTTGTAGATGAGACCGAGCGGACATGCCAAGGAGTCGGTATCATCCTTTCAGAAAGAATGAGTCAATGTGTGAAAGAGTACGAAAGTGTAAGCCCGAGACTGCTATTGATAGGAAAGTGGGCTTAAGGAAGTTGTTTGTTCTAGTGGTCTACGAACCAGACATATCTAAGCCCACTTATATCCGAGAGCAGTTTTGAGAGATGGTAAGGATGGTGTTAATGAAATGTAAGGCAAATGAAAATATTGTTATGGTAGGATTGTCACGGATAGCTTAGCAGGCGTCGCCTTAGTCTTGTTTCTCAGTTTGCCTCCCCCCCCCCAAATGTGTGCCAAATTTATGTTGCAGAAGTTGCAGAGTCGGTAAGGGACGTCCTAGGCGAAAGTTTGTCGACCAAATTGGCGATCTATTGAAAAGGGGCCAAATTAAGAGTACTCTTAACCGACGAGCATGTATGCGTAGGTAATGGATGTGGAAGAGGCGAGAGAGGTGTATCAGGATCGTGCCTAATGGAATTCTGTAGTCTCTGCCTACCTCTCTACTTGACAGACGTGAATGCTTATGTATGTATGTCTTACCTGGTTCAGCAGTCGCATACACAACCACTAGGCCAAAGTGACATACAAACTTTAGAAACAAAAAAGAGAGACAATGTTTGATATGTGGTAGAGCCATGCTTCAGCTATATAGACGTAGCACGAATGGTTCCGCTAGACCGGAGAAGGGCCACGCTCTTATAGAATACCAACGTAAACTAGCACCTTAATGTTGCTATTTGAATGATAGAAATATGGTGAGTGTAGAGAATGTTGAGTGTAAACAAATTTTATTTTATTCATTCAATCTTAATCCTCAGGGGTGACAACACATCCGCGAATAAGGTCTTTGGGTCACAGCACCCACTTTACCATTAGTTGTGCTTGTTTGTCACCCTTATTGTATAATTGTATATCACATATCCCAGAAATCAACGTCAACCCGGAAATATATAATATAGGAAATATATAGGCTAAATCGTGCCAGTTATTAGAAAAATATAAAAAAATCTTGGTCATGTACTTTACAAATTATAGGAGAGATAATTATTTTGACTTCAGTGTTTGGAAAAAATCTACCATTTTATTTAAAACAAAGGCAGTTATGTTTTATCTTTTAGCTGTAATTTACAAAAGTGTTATTCATGGTTACATAACAGAAAAAAAAACTGACGAAAAGTTTACATTTGTAGTCACAGGACTTAATAGATTATCACAGGATGTCAGTTTTTGAGATTGATTTTGAATTATAATTTGAAAAGTACATGACCAAGATCTTTTTTCCAATTTTCTGATAACTGTCACGAACGTGTCATGACGTGGCATATTGCCCGTTTCCGGCTTGACGTTGATTTCTGGGAAACCTGTATATGTGATACAAACAATTATAGAATGAGAA